ATCCCCTGGCTCGCCCTACAGCAGCCTGACGCCCTTAAAGTGGCAAGGATCATGTGATACCGAGTGATACCCATCCTACGGGATGTGCAAACTCACCCCCCTACCGGGCCCCTCCGCCCAGCACAAGGCGCAAGGTTGTGATTTAACAGCTTCACTGGTCTGCATCTTGGCTGCATCTTGACTCAGCAAAGCTGAGCGCATCCTGGAGAAAAAAATGCCGTGCATTGCTGTGCAGCGGCAAGGGCGGCATGTCCTGCCATATATCCCGTGCTACGTAATGCTACGTGCATGTTTCAAGGAGAGGCTGCCCTTGAGCAAGAGATTCCCCTCCCCTCCCTTTAAAGGGGGGCGGGGAAGTCTGGGCCCTAGAGAAATGTGACCCCATCCGACTCCTCTCACTTGGCAGCCACCAAATGGGGCATTGCGGCTGCTGCTCGTCGAGCTCTCTGTCTCATTTCGTCAGGGCCACGATGCCAACCACAATGAGCGCGACAAGGCCCAGGGCAATTGCCGTGTGCTCCTTGAAGTAGGCGAAAGCTTCCTCTGCGTAGGGCGTCACCAGCATGCCAATCATCAGTGCAATCCCCATGATGCTGGAGCCGATGCCTGTGGAGCGTGCGTAATTGATGGGCTTGAAGTAGATGTTGAAAGGCAACTTCTTGTCAGGGGGCTGCAGGGTGTAGCCGCGCCACTCGTTGCAGGGAGATGAGATGATGCAGGAGGCCCAAATGGTGAGACCAAAGACCATGGCCTTGTGGGTGAAGGTGGTGGGGGCAATGGTATCCAGCAGCCAAGGCTGGACCAAACCGCGGGCCCAGCCGTAGATGATGTCTCGGGCCACTGTGGGGATGTAGGCCTGATACAGGAGGGCCACCTTGATCTCCCATCCCATGCTCTTGCGGAAGCGGTAGTTGGTCACCGGCAGCATGATGGTGCAGAAGACCAAGCCGCTCACGAAGCCAGACACACCCGGGGAAAGGCCGGTGAAGATCATGGCCCGGTTAATGATCTGAACGGGTTCAACTCCAGTGGCCACATTAGGCACATTAGGTGCACAGTCAAGTGCTTGTTTGGAATTGGGGGTGAGGAGGGGGGCATGAGTCAGGGCCATCCCTACTAGAAGCGTGCAGCAGAAAAGGCTGGACGCGTGGATGCTCCATGAAGTTTGCCCCAATCTGCCTCAAACACTGGGAACTTCAGCATGTTGGTGGGGAAGGTCGTGAGGAAGAAGTTGGCCACGAGGTTGAAGTTCACCTCCTGAAAGGCCTGGCCTACAGTCATCCGCTTCACCAACCTGAGTACCAGAAGTGTGCCCACACGTCAGATGATGAAATCGCAAAAATGGCCTTGGCGCTGTCCGGGAAACACAACAGTTCCGCCCTGCATTTTTCCAGTTGCATGCCCCGTAGACAACGTTAAGCTGACCGTCGCCTACTCTCGGCCGCCTGCCTACTCATGCCTTTAACTTTAAAGAGTCCAAGGCACAGGCGGTTCACCAGGGGCTCGCACATCGCCGACAAAATGGCCGCCACAAGCGCGGCCGTGCATCCCTGCGCAGCGGCCGCGAAAACCTTGGTCATGAAGTTGTCCCCCTGCCTGGGCGGATAAAAGAGCGGCCGCAAGGGAATTGTCAAGAATGCTGGCGCGAACTTATTCGAAGATAGGGTTGCCACCTGGCCCAAGCATTAATTTGCCCAGCGAGTTGCGGTTCCTCCGTGGCGACCAGTGCCAAGTCCCGGGCGGCATGTGGGGAGAACCAAGCATCCAGGCACCAGGACACCGCGGCAAAAACCAGCACAGGACCGAAGCTGTTGCGGCGCGTCATGACGGAGAAACAATTTCCTCCTTATTCGGACTTGAGCCCTCGTTCCCCTGCCAATACGAAGCCTCTCATCTCATGCTGCAAAATCTGCCAACCAGGCTGGCGGCTCATGCAAACTCACCTCATTCAACAGCTTTGCTGGTCTGGTCTGCATCTTAACTCAGCAATGCTGAGCGCATGTTGGAGAAAAAAAGCCTTGCGGCGGTAAGAGCGGTATGTCCTGCCGTATGCCGCTACGCAATGCTACGTACATCTTTGAGTGAGAGGCTGCCCTTGGGCATCGTACTCCCCCCCTTTAAGGGGGGTCGGTTGCGACCCCTAGAAAAATGTGACTTATTGCGGTTGGTGGGGGGGCAGGGGGCCCCAATAAATGTGAGAGGCTGCCGTCTAGCATCGCTGGGAATTTGATTCCTCTCACTCGACGGCTGTCTCATTTCGTCAGGGCCACGATGCCAACCACAATGAGCGCGACAAGGCCTAGGGCAATTGCCGTGTGCTCCTTGAAGTAGGCGAAAGCTTCCTCTGCGTAGGGCGTCACCAGCATGCCAATCATCAGTGCAATCCCCATGATGCTGGAGCCGATGCCTGTGGAGCGTGCGTAATTGATGGGCTTGAAGTAGATGTTGAAAGGCAACTTCTTGTCAGGGGGCTGCAGGGTGTAGCCGCGCCACTCGTTGCAGGGAGATGAGATGATGCAGGAGGCCCAAATGGTGAGACCAAAGACCATGGCCTTGTGGGTGAAGGTGGTGGGGGCAATGGTATCCAGCAGCCAAGGCTGGACCAAGCCGCGGGCCCAGCCGTAGATGATGTCTCGGGCCACTGTGGGGATGTAGGCCTGATACAGGAGGGCCACCTTGATCTCCCATCCCATGCTCTTGCGGAAGCGGTAGTTGGTCACCGGCAGCATGATGGTGCAGAAGACCAAGCCGCTCACGAAGCCAGACACACCCGGGGAAAGGCCGGTGAAGGTCATGGCCCGGTTAATGATCTGAACGGGTTCAACTCCAGTGGCCACATTAGGCACATTAGGTGCACAGTCAAGTGCTTGTTTGGAATTGGGGGTGAGGAGGAGGGCATGAGTCAGGGCCATCCCTACTAGAAGCGTGCAGCAGAAAAGGCTGGACGCGTGGATGTTCCATGAAGTTTGCCCCAATCTGCCTCAAACACTGGGAACTTCAGCATGTTGGTGGGGAAGGTCGTGAGGAAGAAGTTGGCCACGAGGTTGAAGTTCACCTCCTGAAAGGCCTGGCCTACAGTCATCCGCTTCACCAACCTGAGTACCAGAAGCGTGCCCACACGTCAGATGATGAAATCGCAAAAATGGCCTTGGCGCTCTCCGGGAAACACAACAGTTCCGCCCTGCATTTTTCCAGTTGCATGCCCCGTAGACAACGTTAAGCTGACCGTCGCCTACTCTCGGCCGCCTGCCTACTCATGCCTTTAAAGAGTCCAAGGCACAGGCGGTTCACCAGGGGCTCGCACATCGCCGACAAAATGGCCGCCACAAGCGCGGCCGTGCATCCCTGCGCAGCGGCCGCGAAAACCTTGGTCATGAAGTTGTCCCCCTGCCTGGGCGGACAAAAGAGCGGCCGCAAGGGAATTGTCAAGAATGCTGGCGCGAACTTAGTATCAAATGCTTGCGAAATTTAATCGGTTCGAAGTTAGGGTTGCCACCTGGCCCAAGCATTTAATTTGCCCAACGAGTTGCGGTTCCTCCGTGGCGACCAGTGCCAAGTCTCGGGCGGCATGTGGGGAGAACCAAGCATCCAGGCACCAGGACACCGCGGCAAAAACCAGCACAGGACCGAAGCTGTTGCGGCGCATCATGACGGAGAAACGATTTCCTCCTTATTCGGTTTGAGCCCTCGTTCCCCTGCCAATACGAAGCCTCTCACCTCTGCTGCAAAATCTGCCAACCAGGCTGGCGGCTCATGCAAACTCACCTCATTCAACAGCTTTGCTGGTCTGGTCTGCATCTTAACTCAGCAATGCTGAGCGCATGTTGGAGAAAAAAAAGCCTTGCGGCGGCAAGAGCGGTATGTCCTGCCGTATGCCGCTACGCAATGCTACGTACATCTTTGAGTGAGAGGTTGCCCTTGGGCATCGTACTCCCCCCCTTTAAGGGGGGTCGGTTGCGACCCCTAGAAAAATGTGACTTATTGCGGTTGGTGGGGGGGCAGGGGCCCCAATAAATGTGAGAGGCTGCCGTCTAGCATCGCTGGGAATTTGATTCCTCTCACTCGGCGGCTGTCTCATTTCGTCAGGGCCACGATGCCAACCACAATGAGCGCGACAAGGCCCAGGGCAATTGCCGTGTGCTCCTTGAAGTAGGCGAAAGCTTCCTCTGCGTAGGGCGTCACCAGCATGCCAATCATCAGTGCAATCCCCATGATGCTGGAGCCGATGCCTGTGGAGCGTGCGTAATTGATGGGCTTGAAGTAGATGTTGAAAGGCAACTTCTTGTCAGGGGGCTGCAGGGTGTAGCCGCGCCACTCATTGCAGGGAGATGAGATGATGCAGGAGGCCCAAATGGTGAGACCAAAGACCATGGCCTTGTGGGTGAAGGTGGTGGGGGCAATGGTATCCAGCAGCCAAGGCTGGACCAAGCCGCGGGCCCAGCCGTAGATGATGTCTCGGGCCACTGTGGGGATGTAGGCCTGATACAGGAGGGCCACCTTGATCTCCCATCCCATGCTCTTGCGGAAGCGGTAGTTGGTCACCGGCAGCATGATGGTGCAGAAGACCAAGCCGCTCACGAAGCCAGACACACCCGGGGAAAGGCCGGTGAAGGTCATGGCCCGGTTAATGATCTGAACGGGTTCAACTCCAGTGGCCACATTAGGCACATTAGGTGCACAGTCAAGTGCTTGCTTGGAATTGGGGGTGAGGAGGAGGGCATGAGTCAGGGCCATCCCTACTTGAAGCGTGCAGCAGAAAAGGCTGGACGGGTGGATGTTCCATGAAGTTTGCCCCAATCTGCCTCAAACACTGGGAACTTCAGCATGTTGGTGGGGAAGGTCGTGAGGAAGAAGTTTGCCACGAGGTTGAAGTTCACCTCCTGAAAGGCCTGGCCTACAGTCATCCGCTTCACCAACCTGAGTACCAGAAGCATGCCCACACGTCAAAAATGATGAAATCGCAAACATGGCCTTGGCGCTGTCCGGGAAACACAACGGTTCCGCCCTGCATTTTTCCAGTTGCATGCCCCGTAGACAACGTTAAGCTGACCGTCGCCTACTCTCGGCCGCCTGCCTACTCATGCCTTTAAAGAGTCCAAGGCACAGGCGGTTCACCAGGGGCTCGCACATCGCCGACAAAATGGCCGCCACAAGCGCGGCCGTGCATCCCTGCGCAGCGGCCGCGAAAACCTTGGTCATGAAGTTGTCCCCCTGCCTGGGCGGACAAAAGAGCGGCCGCAAGGGAATTGTCAAGAATGCTGGCGCGAACTCAGTATCAAATGCTTGCGAAATTTAATCGGTTCGAAGTTAGGGTTGCCACCTGGCCCAAGCATTTAATTTGCCCAACGAGTTGCGGTTCCTCCGTGGCGACCAGTGCCAGGTCCCGGGCGGCATGTGGGCAGAACCACGCATCCAGGCACCAGGACACCGCGGCAAAAACCAGCACAGGACCGAAGCTGTTGCGGCGCGTCATGACGGAGAAACAATTTCCTCCTTATTCGGACTTGAGCCCTCGTTCCCCTGCCAATGCGAAGCCTCTCACATCTGCTGCAAAATCTGCCAACCAGGCTGGCGGCTCAAGCAAACTCACCTCATTCAACAGCTTTGCTGGTCTGGTCTGCATCTTAACTCAGCAATGCTGAGCGCATGTTGGAGAAAAAAAAGCCTTGCGGCGGCAAGAGCGGTATGTCCTGCCGTATGCCGCTACGCAATGCTACGTACATCTTTGAGTGAGAGGCTGCCCTTGGGCATCGTACTCCCCCCCTTTAAGGGGGGTCGGTTGCGACCCCTAGAAAAATGTGACTTATTTCGGTTGGTGGGGGGGGGCAGGGGGCCCCAATAAATGTGAGAGGCTGCCGTCTAGCATCGCTGGGAATTTGATTCCTCTCACTCGGCGGCTGTCTCATTTCGTCAGGGCCACGATGCCAACCACAATGAGCGCGACAAGGCCCAGGGCAATTGCCGTGTGCTCCTTGAAGTAGGCGAAAGCTTCCTCTGCGTAGGGCGTCACCAGCATGCCAATCATCAGTGCAATCCCCATGATGCTGGAGCCGATGCCTGTGGAGCGCGCGTAATTGATGGGCTTGAAGTAGATGTTGAAAGGCAACTTCTTGTCAGGGGGCTGCAGGGTGTAGCCGCGCCACTCATTGCAGGGAGATGAGATGATGCAGGAGGCCCAAATGGTGAGACCAAAGACCATGGCCTTGTGGGTGAAGGTGGTGGGGGCAATGGTATCCAGCAGCCAAGGCTGGACCAAGCCGCGGGCCCAGCCGTAGATAATGTCTCGGGCCACTGTGGGGATGTAGGCCTGATACAGGAGGGCCACCTTGATCTCCCATCCCATGCTCTTGCGGAAGCGGTAGTTGGTCACCGGCAGCATGATGGTGCAGAAGACCAAGCCGCTCACGAAGCCAGACACACCCGGGGAAAGGCCGGTGAAGGTCATGGCCCGGTTAATGATCTGAACGGGTTCAACTCCAGTGGCCACATTAGGCACATTAGGTGCACCGTCAAGTGCTTGTTTGGAATTGGGGTGAGGAGGAGGGCATGAGTCAGGGCCATCCCTACTAGAAGCGTGCAGCAGCAAAGGCTGGACGCGTGGATGTTCCATGAAGTTTGCCCCAATCTGCCTCAAACACTGGGAACTTCAGCATGTTGGTGGGGAAGGTCGTGAGGAAGAAGTTGGCCACGAGGTTGAAGTTCACCTCCTGAAAGGCCTGGCCTACAGTCATCCGCTTCACCAACCTGAGTACCAGAAGCGTGCCCACACTTCAAAGATGATGAATTCGCAAAAATGGCCTTGGCGCTGTCCTGGAAACACAACGGTTCCGCCCTGCATTTTTCCAGTTGCATGCCCCGTAGACAACGTTAAGCTGACCGTCGCCTACTCTCGGCCGCCTGCCTACTCATGCCTTTAAAGAGTCCAAGGCACAGGCGGTTCACCAGGGGCTCGCACATCGCCGACAAAATGGCCGCCACAAGCGCGGCCGTGCATCCCTGCGCAGCGGCCGCGAAAACCTTGGTCATGAAGTTGTCCCCCTGCCTGGGCGGACAAAAGAGTGGCCGCAAGGGAATTGTCAAGAATGCTGGCGCGAACTCAGTATCAAATGCTTGCGAAATTTAATCGGTTCGAAGTTAGGGTTGCCACCTGGCCCAAGCATTTAATTTGCCCAACGAGTTGCGGTTCCTCCGTGGCGACCAGTGCCAAGTCCCGGGCGGCATGTGGGGAGAACCACGCATCCAGGCACCAGGACACCGCGGCAAAAACCAGCACAGGACCGAAGCTGTTGCGGCGCGTCATGACGGAGAAACAATTTCCTCCTTATTCGGACTTGAGCCCTCGTTCCCCTGCCAATGCGAAGCCTCTCACCTCTGCTGCAAAATCTGCCAACCAGGCTGGCGGCTCATGCAAACTCACTTCATTCAACAGCTTTGCTGGTTTGGTCTGCATCTTAACTCTGAAGTCTAGGTTGCCTGGAGGTGAGGGCAGGATATGCAAACTCACTTTATTTAACAGCTTCACTGGTCCAGTCTGCATTTTTTTTCAGCAATGCTGAGCGCATGTTGGAGAAAAAACACCTTGCCGTGCATAGTTTGTTGTGCAGCGGCACAGGTTGTCTGTCCTGCATGTATGCTGAGAGGCTGCTGTCTTGCATCGCTGGGAGTAGGATTCCTCTCACTCAGGGCTGTCTGCGCCACTAAATGGCGCTGGCCGCTGCTCGTCGAGCTCTCTGGCTCATTTTGTCAGGGCCACGATGCCAACCACAATGAGCGCGACAAGGCCCAGGGCAATTGCCGTGTGCTCCTTGAAGTAGGCGAAAGCTTCCTCTGCGTAGGGCGTCACCAGCATGCCAATCATCAGTGCAATCCCCATGATGCTGGAGCCGATGCCTGTGGAGCGCGCGTAATTGATGGGCTTGAAGTAGATGTTGAAAGGCAACTTCTTGTCAGGGGGCTGCAGGGTGTAGCCGCGCCACTCGTTGCAGGGAGATGAGATGATGCAGGAGGCCCAAATGGTGAGACCAAAGACCATGGCCTTGTGGGTGAAGGTGGTGGGGGCAATGGTATCCAGCAGCCAAGGCTGGACCAAGCCGCGGGCCCAGCCGTAGATGATGTCTCGGGCCACTGTGGGGATGTAGGCCTGATACAGGAGGGCCACCTTGATCTCCCATCCCATGCTCTTGCGGAAGCGGTAGTTAGTCACCGGCAGCATGATGGTGCAGAAGAGCCAGCCGCTCACAAAGCCAGACAGACCCGGGGAAAGGCCGGTGAAGGTCATGGCCCGGTTAATGATCTGAACGGGTTCACATTAGGCACATTAGGTGCACAGTCAAGTACTTGTTTGGAATTGGGGGTGAGGAGGGGGGCATGAGTCAGGGCCATCCCTACTAGAAGCGTGCAGCAGAAAAGGCTGGACGGGTGGATGTTCCATGAAGTTTGCCCCAATCTGCCTCAAACACTGGGAACTTCAGCATGTTGGTGGGGAAGGTCGTGAGGAAGAAGTTGGCCACGAGGTTGAAGTTCACCTCCTGAAAGGCCTGGCCTACAGTCATCCGCTTCACCAACCTGAGTACCAGAAGCGTGCCCACACTTCAAAGATGATGAAATCGCAAAAATGGCCTTGGCGCTGTCCTGGAAACACAACGGTTCCGCCCTGCATTTTTCCAGTTGCATGCCCCGTAGACAACGTTAAGCTGACCGTCGCCTACTCTCGGCCGCCTGCCTACTCATGCCTTTAACGAGTCCAAGGCACAGGCGGTTCACCAAGGGCTCGCACATCGCCGACAAAATGGCCGCCACCAGCGCGGCCGTGCATCCCTGCGCAGCGGCCGCGAAAACCTTGGTCATGAAGTTGTCCTGCCTGGGCGGAACAACAGAGCGGAACGTTTTTAGCTGGGCTGTCTCGAATCGCGCCGCCAATGGCGACTCCCGGCATAGTCAGCTTTCTACCGCCCACCCAAACATTGCTTCCGATGTGGATGGCCCGTCCGAACTCAAGACCGCGCCGGGGCACTGGCATGGTCAGGCATAAACATCTGAACGACTGTCCCAATGTGTGCAATAACGCATGCCTTGCGGCTTCATCGGAAGAGCGTCATGCGATGCTGACGGTGCTTTTCGTATTGATACATCCTCATCCACCTTCTACTCTGACTACCTCTACAACATCGGGATTTAACTTCAACAACATCATGTTTTGGCATGTGCAGGGAGTTGGTCCTGAGAAGTTCACTGAGGGGGATCCACTACGCATCCATCGAGTCAAGGAACAACAGTATAAACCCCAGTGTTGCCAATAAAATCTCCGGCGAAATGTGCGTCACTTCATCATTGCCGGCTGTTTAATGCTCGCTTCGGGATTCGACACAGGGTGTCTCACTGAATGACATCTAAAAGCGAGTAAGTATCCCGCGTCGCAGCTATTTGTGGCATTGAATGGTTCAGGGGTGACATGCAACAAGGCTGAGACCTATAGTAAATTGGCACCCTCGCCCTCCAAACGGGCAGCAAAAAACGGAAAGTAGATTCATGATGCTTAAGCAATCATCGTGTTGCTCTGGCCATACTTTTCGCCATTCATGCGCCCAGCCAGCCCCAGGTCCACCTGTTCCCATGATGAATTTGCCCAGCGAGTTGCGGCTCCTCCGTGGCGACCAGTGCCAAGTCCCGGGCGGCATGTGGGGAGAACCACGCATCCAGGCACCAGGACACCGCGGCAAAAACCAGCACAGGACCAAAGCTGTTGCGGCGCGTCATGACGGAGAAACGATTTGCTCCTTCTTCGGATCTTCGGATTTGAGCCCTCGTTCGGCAAATGGAGCAAGGCAATTGCTTTCTGGTGAGTGGCTGCAATGCTTCACCAATTCGACGTTCACACGCCAAGTTTCTCCCATAAGATCCGAGATTCCGCACCGGCGCTCCCTCCAAAGCACAACCAAACAACATGGCATACCACTCTGGCCTCCTGCCGCAAAGTCCCTGGCGACAGTTTGGGTCACAAGCTCGTGCTCCTGATTGGAGTATGGCTTGGGGGTGTGCGCTCATATTCGGGGCATGGCCGTTTTGCTCATTGGGCTGTGTGTGAGATTTGTGTACTTGCTCAAGCCATGGTTTCGCTCGGTTTGTCCATGATGTAGATCGTTCTCGGCTGGCAGGTGTTGGCACACCATATCATGCGCCACGCAAGACGCCGGTGCGCCAGCCAGCCAGCTAACCAACCAACCGCAACCAACCGTAACAACACAATGACCAACCAGAACCAACCGGAAAACCGTAACCAACCGTAACCAACCATGACCAACCAGAACCAACCGGAAAACCGTAACCAGCCGCAACCAACCATGACCAACCAGAACCAACCGGAAAACCGTAACCAACCGTAACCAACCATGACCAACCATGACCAACCATAACCAACCGGAAACCAAGCGTAACCAACCCTACCGTAACCATCCGCAACCAACGGTAACCAACGGTAACCAACGGCAACCAACGGATACCAACGGATACCAACGGTAACCAACGGCAACCAGCGGTAACCAACCGTAACCAACCAACCAACCAACCAACCAACCAACCAACCAACCAACCAGCCAGCCAGCCAGCCAGCCAGCCAGCCAGCCAGCCAGCCAGCCAGCCAGCCAGCCAGCCAGCCAGCCAGCCAGCCAGCCAATCAACCAACCAACCACACAATCAGCCGGCCAGCCAACTAACCAACCAATCAAGCAACCCAGCAGTCAAAAATCAGAACGACACAAAATTCATCAATCCATCCATCAATCAATCATACTGCTCGGACGAGTGACCACAAAGAGTCCCACAACTCATGAGCAAAGTAAGTTGGGATCGGAGTCTTTGGACCTCTCAACCAGCCAGAGCCAGCCTCTGCGCCAGGCATCTTTGAGCAACGGGGCCAAGGAGGTGATGCTGTCGTAGCCTCCAGAGACACGGCGCCAAGTGATTTCCCCCAACCTCAAGGCATGTTAGCGTGGCACCGCTGCTTCTCACATCCTGTAGCGCGCTAAGGCGTGCTGTCTCCAGTTGCAGGATCGAAACAGTCCCCAGTGACGGGGATTAAACCGAAGGCGTTTTCAGCTTCCCAGAAGATGTTGTTGATTAGAACTTTCTTACACGGGCATCTCTCTTCTCCAGGCGGAGCGGGAAATCTGGAAAAAGTGGGGCCTGAAACGGCAAACCAAGTACCCTATTCAGCAAACCGAGCCCCTGAAACACCCCTTGTAAAAGGTACCATAAAGACTAAGAAGTGATCCAGCTACTGGTTCTCTTATTCAATGAATATCTACTGCAGGTGCAAGAATGAAAGCTGCGATATAAGCAATAGTTGCTAAAGGAACCAGGACACGAGGGCAAACATGAAATCAAGAACAACGACGGAGCTAAGCCCTAGGAGTTTTCTCTAAGGATTTCTTCCGGGGGCTCGCAACTTCGCAACTGGGGAGGTCCAAATGTCAAGATCACGTTCAATCCTCCGGTCGTTGATCCACCTCGGTTTGTTCATGGGCTGTTTCTGGGTTTAGTGAAGAAAGGTCAAAACCACATTGAATCCTCCGGATAGGTCATGCAGGGTGTCCCTGGGTTTGTGGGGAAGGATCAATACCACGTTCAATCTTCCGGTAACTTGACACCTAAGGCGGTCTGAGTCGCTGCGGCCACCAATCGTGCATAGAAATCTGGGCGTCACCAATATTGGGCGTGGCGCTGGCTCTGCTTCATGCCGATGAAACAGAAACTCATCATGGTCCACACTCCATATGTTAATTCGCTTGAGCCGAAGGCTCATCGACCTATACATCCATATACATTTAAATACAAGTATATATAGATAGACACAAATCTTTGCACGTACCTAAATACATCTACATGTATGAATTTAGAACAGGTACACATTTCTGGCCTGTTTTGCTGCCAAATCATGACTGACCCATATCAGCACTGCCCAGGAATGATTTGCCTTGCTGGCGTTTTGGATGGCGAAACTCAACTCTCTGCAACCCAAGCGCCGGGCCCATTGAAAACGATATGTACAGAAGAATGCAGGTGACCTTAGGCGGCCAAACAGCCACCAGTTCGATGAGCCTAACGAGCTCGGGGTGGATTGGGTGAGCCGCGCTGGCCTCTGAAACTAGATCCGATGCATCCAAGAATCGCTTGGAATGAAGAGCTCAGTGAGGTGAAAACAGCCCCACATGCGCGTGCGAGGTTCGTCCCCTGAGACCATCTTCGCCGGAAAGGTCCGGACCAAGATGTGAATCTAGACTCCAGCGTATCCAGCCAGGGGACAACTAGATTTATTTGTGCTGGGAGCAGACTCAAATGGCCCGACATAGACTCAGAATTTTGGTTGGGTTGCTTTCGGTGTTGCCTCTGTCGCTACCCTCTGAAAGTGTGAGTGCACCCTGTGCCTTCGGGTTTTGAAAGGCAGGACACTCGTCCGTATTTCCCAATTTCTCATCATTATTCTGCGAAAGCAAAGTGTCACCAGCACCACTTGCAATGGCGCCTTATTCAACGTGGCAAAGGTGGCGCTAGTCAGAAGTGAGCTCCTCATTCCCAGTGACCTTGACCAAACATGAAATACCCTCCCTCCCACTGACATGGCACCTTACAAAAGGCCCCTTTTAAAGAAGCTTGATCTTCCAGCTGCCCTGTCCTTTGGGCCTCTCGCCACGACAGCACCCACAGACTCGATCTTGCCGTGGCCCCAGGGGTGCTCCTCACGCGACTTCTCCCGCAAAGGGGTGCACAGCTTCGGACTTGTGGCACCTACGTTGAACACTGATTCCACCCTGGGAGTTGCCATTGCTCCAATACTTCGCGTGGGATCCTGGGGAGAATATCATGCTGATAGGACGTGACTGTTAGGTTAGACATCGCTGCCTGCACTTTGGGGAGCATGATGGAGCATGTACAAATAGTGTTCAGCGGTATGCGCAGGGAATGAGGGAATGAACCTGGTGGGGATTCCCTTAAGGAAACCGCAGGGTCATTCCCGCATTCCCTGCCGAGCACCAGCAAGCCGAGCACCAGCAAGCCTAGCCCCGCCCCACTTGAACATTGGGATCTGAGTGGTTTCTTGGGAAGCCTATAGCTCATCTTCCAGAAAACATGTGTTCCGTGCGGGGGCACCATTGCCACAAGGGGCTTTCTGCCTCCCGGAGGGGACCTTGGATCGGCATCGATCCCCCGGAAATCCCCCAGTTTCCTTGTCTGGGGGCTTCGCCGCTTCAGCATAGGCGAGGGCTGTCACCTGGGTGAGTGAAAACCCACAGCCACCAGAACATTCAAGCGCTGCCGTGTACTCTTGAGGGTGTAGTCCTCACGCCTCCAACCCATAGCCAAAAAGAGATATAATGCATGGTCAATATCAATCTTGTCAACTGACATTTGTTTTTGCTCGGCTATTAAATTGTCTATTTGTACTGTGGTGAGTCTGCGTCTGCGCCATGCCATTCCCCCCTGGCTACAGTGCATGACAGCAAATACAAGTCGTTTCCGGCAACGTCCAAGGGTGCACCCCAACCAGTCATACTTAAATACTGATGTGATAAACCTGCCAGCCATAGCACCGCTCAGGCCAGTATGTCAATCAAACCCTGGCCCGTGAGGGCGTATCGGTGTTTTGGCTCAAAACAAAAGCCGGCCCCGTTTTGCCAGTCTGTGTGCCGTGCACCTGCACGCAACTGCCATAGCTGGCAAGCGTGCGTGGGTGGGGTGGGGTGGGGTGTGGGGTGGGGTGGGGTGTGGGGTGGGGTGGGGTGGGGTGGGGTGGGGTGCGGTGGGGTGGGGTGCGGTGGGGTGGGGTGGGGTGGGGTGGGGGTGGGGGGTGGGGTGGGGTGGGGTGGGGTGGGGTGGGGTGGGGTGGGGTGGGGTGGGGTGGGGGTGGGGGTGGGCTGGGGTGGGGTGGGGTGGGGTGGGGTGGGGTGGGGTGGGGTGGGGTGGGGTGGGGTGGGGTGGGGGGGTGGGGGGGTGGGGTGGGGTGGTGTGGGTGCGTGCGTGCGTGGGTGCAAGAGTGGGTGGGTGAGTGTGTCGGTGGGTGTGGGGAGTGTGTGTGTGTGTGTGTGTGTCTGTGTGTGTGGTGGGTGCGTCGGTGGGTGGCTGAGTGGGGGGAGGTGCGGGTGTGCATGCGTGCGCGTGCGCGAGCTCGTGCGCGCGCGCGTGTGTGTGTGTGTGTGTGTGTGTGTGTGTGTGTGTGTGTGTGTGTGTGTGTGTGTGTGTGTGTGTGTGTGTGTGTGTGTGTGTGTGTGTGTGTGTGTGTGTGTGTGTGTGTGTGTGTGTGCGTTTACGTGCGCGTGTGCGTGGGTGTGCGTGAGGGTGAGTCTGTGTGTGTGTGGCGTGTGCGGGTGTGGGCGTGGGAGTGGGAGTGGGTGTGGGTGTGGGCGCGGGTGCGGGCGCGGGTGCGTGCGCGTGCGCCTGCGCGTGCGCGTGGGCGTATGCATGTGTGTGTGCGTGTGCGGGCGCGGGTGCGCGTGTGCGTGCGGGTGCGCGCGCGCTTGTGCGCGCGTGTGTGCGCGTGTGTGCGCGCGTGTGTGTGTGTGTGTGTGTGTGTGTGTGTGTGTGTGTGTGTGTGTGTGTGTGTGTGTGTGTGTGTGTGTGTGTCTGTGTGTGTCTGTGTGTCTGTGTGTGTGTGTCTGCGTGTGTGTGCGTGTCTGCGTGTCTGCGTGTCTGTGTCTGCGTGTCTGCGTGTCTGCGTGTCTGTGTCTGCGTGTCTGCGTGTCTGCGTGTCTGCGTGTCTGCGTGTCTGCGTGCGTGTCTGCGTGTCTGCGTGTCTGCGTGTCTGCGTGTCTGCGTGTCTGCGTGTCTGCGTGTCTGCGTGTCTGCGTGTCTGCGTGTCTGCGTGTCGTGTCTGTGTCTGCGTGTCTGCGTGTCTGCGTGTCTGCGTGTCTGCGTGTCTGCGTGTCTGCGTGTCTGCGTGTCTGCGTGTCTGC